CCCGGTAACCAGATAGTGCCACCTGTGCCTACCCTTGTGGGGAATGTTGGCTTGGCCATTGTATCCTTTGCATAATTAACAGTTAAGTGTGGTTAAGTTCAGATTTTCCTTCCTTTCAACTTTCTCAAACCAGCTTGATTTTTGTTTCTCTTTGACAAAGAAGACAAAAATGGAGGTCAGATGGGCTTGAAAACTTTTTAATCAAGGAAAACATGAAACAAAACATATCATGGTCATCTGTTTATTGGTGGTCTTTAAAAGTACTTTACTCTCACAGTGCTTCACTTCATCTTGGAGTATAGATAACTAATGCCAAACTGTCAGGGTAGCTTGATAAAATTCTGGGCAGAGGGGGGGAGGGGGTTTGCAATGGAGTGGTATTCCATCTATGGGGATTAGATTAGTTCCAGCCACATACCTTTTAATGGTTGCTTTAGAAAGTCATGTTGGTCTGCTGTAACAGCACTAAACTTAAGTGAGAAAAGTGTAGTTCCAAGTCCTGGCTGGATTGCCATGTTGTATTATGATGCAAGGCACCCTGCTCTTAAAGTCACTCTCCTTACCCAGGATGGTATAAATGGGTACCAGCTAACTATGAGGGAACCTGATAATATGAAAGACGCTGACAAAGTCATTTCTTAGCAGGCCTCGTGTACTGAGTATTGTCCTTGTTCATGTCACTGCAGGTTGTAGATCCTTGGGGCTGTGTTATTGCTCAGTGTCATGAAGGACGTGTGTGTAGCAGAAATTGACCTTGGATACTTAAACAAGGTTCGGCAACAGATGCCGTTGATGAATCATCGGAGAACTGATATCTATGGAAGCCTTAATTCGGGACCGAAGCTTTGAGTATGTCTTAACTAAAATGCACTCGAGGCGAAAAAGGATTGTCATCTTTCTCGTTTCAATTCCAGCTGACTTAGTATGTAGAATAGAAAAGAACTGCTAATAGCACGAATATTTCCTACAACAAACTGATTTAGCCAAGTTCAACTGTGTTGATAACGTAAATTAGCCACCTTAGAGAGTTTGTAAAGCTGATGTTTCGAGGGGTAGCTTTCCTGCCGACACAGTACCACAGTTGCTTTAGAAACTTACCCCCTTTCACCTGAAGCAACTCGATTTGAACAGAATGTGGTGGCAGATTGTTAAATCAAAGTTTTCCTTATGAAATATTTTAACAAGAAGAAAAATTCAAATGACAATAAAGTAAAAGGTGAATCTTCTCCATATATGAGTAAGCTATAACAATAGCAGGACATCGAAATTAAGCCGACAAGACCGAACGTAAGGGGAGGAGTTGACCGCTTCCACTAACACCTGCTACGCTAGTTGATATTACTTTCAAAATTAGCCATTCTTCAATCGAAGAAATAGAGCAGTTCTTAAATGAGTATCGAAAGTGATCCTGGTAGCTTAGGTTTTTCATTTACTTCGCTCTAAGATTGTTCTAGAAAAATCACGGTACTTCCTCAACCAATCGACTGCAAAACTAAAACCAATCACGACTTTTTCCCCCCCACATTTTCCCGCACTTCAAGCAGGTTTTCTCGTTTAACTTTGAGTTCTTATTGGTTCATGAAGATGCTAACCTTGGTTCTGATTTGTAGTTGTTATAACTTTGGTTTTGGATTTTCGGTGATTCTCAGTCGAAAACTGTTCGGTCCTAACAAGATGATTCGCTGTGATTTGATACTTTCTTCTTCTTGGATTATTTCTCGCTTGTGAGAAAAACTGTCTTACCAACAAGAATTCGTGCAATTAATTACGAATAATTTTTATTTGAAAATTTCGCTTGAAGTAAATGTCAGTGTCTGTTAAACAAACAGGAATCAGCAATAAAACATTTAAGATAATATAAACTTGTTATTTGATTAGAATAGTCTCACTAATTTTTTCTAAGACAAATATTCGTCGAATCATTGAAAAACCAGGTAACAACAATAGTACATTTAAGATAAAATAAACTCTCCTTTGAACTTTTCTGAGACAAATGTTCGTCGAATCGCTGAAAAATTTAGCCCTTGAAAAAAAAACTGATCATTGAGGCAATCAATTTCAAATAAAAAGTATGAGCATTACAATGTATTAAAGCAAGAGACATGAGGAGTACTATATTGACCTTACTGGGGTTTTAGAACTTATTTCCTTGCAGAAAGAACTGTCAAAAC